GTCACCTGGGGTCGGGAGCAGCTTTGCCGCCTGCGGGAGCTAGTGAGCCCGGGCTGGTGGCCCCGGAAACTGGGGGAAACTGTCATGATTGTCGACTGCTCCTAAAACAGGGCAACTCGATATCAGCTTTTTATGTAATTTGTTAATTTAAAAACATGATTTAAGATCACAGCTGTTCCGGGTTTCTCTTAGAAAAATTTAATTGGTATGTAATAGCATAGTTAATTAAATACAAATCAATAGCTTAAAACAACTAATTGATACTTAATATGAACAGGGGAAAACTTAGTTCTAATATCATTAACTCATATTAAGTAAGCAATGAAATAGCAATTATGTCCTTATAACAATGTAAAGTTTATAGTTCCTTTAATAAACTTACAACTAGCAAGCAAGGAGACTCAAAAATCATGGAGCAGGTATTATTGGGCTATCACACATTGGTTGCTTGCCCTAGTGGTTCCGGGTTACGCTCGAGGACTGGTTGGGTGAACCAGCCTTCCCTCTCCCATCCTCGGGCCTCTGTCCTGGGGAGGTGGGTCAGAAAACTGAGCTCTGTGTGATTTATGGGTTAGGGTTAGGGTTAGCGATCGTGCTGAAAACAGGGCTGGACAGAGCTAACGAAGCAAAAAGGTCAGCAGAATTGAGGCGAGAACTTTCCAAACATGAGACACTGCTTTCTGCTGTCGGCACGGCAGTGCTGGGCAGCCGCTGGTGGCAGAGGCCATTGGGCAGGGCCGCCAGCCGAGCGAGGCAGGACCCTGGGCCAATCTCCAGCCTCTCGGCCATCAGCCAGGGCCCCCCCCACGAGACCTGCTGCTCCTCCTTCCTCCTCTGGGCCCCCACAGCCGTCGCCCCCCCAGGGACTCCGGCCCTCCCCGCAGAACTAAGCCGGACACCAGACACGGGTTCTAGCCTGAGCACTGCTACCGACCTTGGCCTTGAATTGTCATTTTGCTTCTCTGAGCCTCAGATTCTGAAACAGAAATGAGGGAAGTAGTTCCTGCCTTGCCTACTTCACAGAGCCACTGCCAGTACCTAATTAGATAGAGAATATGACAGCATCATGAAAAAATGCGTATTTCACAAATGTGAGTAATATCACTGTATCCTTGTTATTACTAATAAGAATTTCAAAACCCTGGGGCTAGAAAAAAGTCCCACCTTCACCCTCTGAAACTGAAGGGAAACCTTTCCATGTATAAAGCTTCTTATTCCTCTGGAGAGGAGAATCTCTCATTTCCCAGATGCCTGTTCCCATGAATACAGCTTTCATTGGCCGCACCATCCCCTTACCTGCCCAGTCCACTGCGCCACTTATAAGCCCACTCGACTTCATCCTGACCTGGGTAGAGAGAAACTCATCACTGCCCAGTATTTCTTTGGTTGGCCCTTTCCTTAAAGTAGCAGGCACTGTGCTTGGGAACAAGGGGCTCAAAGTTTCCAGAAAAAGGCACAATCCAAGCGTTCACAGTCTAGGGGCCGGGAGTCCCTGGGACGAATTCTTCCCTTCCACCCGAGAAACATGCTCTTCCTGTAACTGCGTCCTTGCTCAGCAGGATTTCCTCACCCTTTGTCTCCTCAGACAGTGCCCACCACACACACACCCCCACCTGCAGGTGACCGGGACTTCTTTGCAGTGGACTTTCATTTAAAGCCAGGACCCCTTGTTTCATGTGAACTACTTCCCAAGGACGCCTCTGGTGCACCTGGTGGTTCAGCGACTGGGAAGTGCCCGGCCTCAGTCTGCAGCCCCCAGGTCTCCATGGAGACACCTCCGCCGTCGCACTGTTAGTTCTAAAGTGGGCATCTGGGGTCTGGCTCCACCCTCCGTCCCAGTGAATGTGGCAAGGGAGGTGGCAGCCCGGAGGCTGGTCCAGGTCACATAGTGAAGGACACAGTTCTTCCTGTCACATTGGATCATCTCTCCCGTAACAGCCTGGTTAGTGTGGCTCGGTAGGGCTTCCCGAAGCCAGAGCAGTTGGGTCCTGCTTGCCTGGGTTCCAGGTGCAACGCCCCCACACCCCCTTCAGCCCTGCTGGCATGCTTCCTCACTCAGACCCAGTGACCTCTAACTTAGCTCTAAAGAAATCCCACATCTTCGTGTGCGGCCAGCTAGCTAACACTCCCGACGCTGGTCCTCCAACCTGCCTGTTTGTGCACGGACCTCGCCGGCTCCGCCGACCTCTCAGCCCAGACCCTGTCAGAGAGCCTTCTTACTGACGGGTTTCTGCAGTGTGCTCATTAGCACCTTGTAATGTTGCTGCCGAAATAATTAAGATGAACCCACACATGTCGAATTAAATGAGCCAAATACATTGAGAAATTTCCTGGTCCTCCATTTCTTTCATCAATCAAGTGTTTTTAAAACTTCTTTTCCTGGTCATCTGCAAAAATCAAACATGGTCAGTGAAGCTATTACTTATAGTACTGTATGAGCGGCCTCTCCCCTCTGGCAACCGCTCTGGGGCTATGCTGGCATCAGAAGGGTTGAGTGAGGGTGGCAGAGACAGCCGCCGTAGGTGATCTGCATTCAGCGGGTTGTCCACATTAGCCAAATCTTTAGGAAAACCATGCCCTGCCCCTTCCATTTCCCTGGGAATTGAGGGGACTTTCCAGGAACACCAACAGGAGATTGGCCTAAATACATCCCACACCTTCTGCCCCCACACCTGGTCTCCTCCCGGGCCCAGTCCAGGAGCCCAGGCCTCCTGTCTCATTAGCAGCCACGGCTTCAGATGCACACAAGAAGCCGCTGGAAAATACATTGAGAATCATCAGCAACTGTATCATTCTGATGGCGAACAATCGCGTGCGCTTCCAATGGACCAGCTCGCTCTGCCTGTTTTTAGCACAGTGAGTTTTCAATGCAGTCTCAGGCAAGAAGCTATCACTCAGGGATGCTCAGCGCCTCCTCACAGCTTGTACTTCCGCTGGCCCCCTCCTGACAGGCCGCATGCCTGCCTCTTGAAGGTGGTTGTTAGAAAGAATCCACAAATATAGTAAGTAAACATCAAAGGGGCTTTGATCCACGTGGCCTTCCAGAGCAGGAGCCCCTGCAGAAAGAGCCAAGGCCTTGGATGAGGGAACTTAACATCGTCAATTTGGGCGCCTGAGATGTAAGGCTGTTTGAAGTGAGGGCGGGCTGGCCGTGCCTTCAGACGCGTGAGCGTGGAAGGAAAGGAAAAGAAGTGGGTGCCTTTGGATCAGGCGTGCTCGGGTCTGCTTCTCTGCTCTTTCCTGATAGTCAATAACCCCCTTTAAAGAATCAAGAGATCAAAGCTGGCGACCTCCCTGGGCCATGGCACCCTGCCACCACCCGCCACACTTTGTTTTTCTCTAGGGCAGGAGCCCCCATGCTTGACTTATCTGTCTCCCGTGGGCCCTGAGCTCCCTTTCATCTTGCTACTCGTGGAGGGCGCACTGGGCACCAAGAAGTGGACGGAGACGGAGAGGGAGGGATGAGCCCAGCCTGTCTATGCTCTAACAGCCTGGAAACACCCGGGGTTTTGGAGAAGTTGCTGCGACACAGCACTCAGTTGGACCCTCCTTCTCTGAGAAACTGATGGGGGGAGCACCTGAGTGCCCAAAAGCCTGGCAAGGCCTGGGAGAAGGCACAGCTGCATTCCGTCTTCCAGAAATCATACCCCTTATTCATTCACCCAGTTTACGGCAGGCATCACAGTCGCAGGACTTCCAAGAGAAGGGGTGGGGGAGCGTCTAAAGGAGGCATGGGAAGCTGTTCAGCATCTTTGAATCTCAATTTCCTCATCTGTATCCTGCAAAGGGCAGGGACCCATCTGCCTGCCTCACAGGGCTGGTGTGGGGGTCGAAGAGAAATACGGGGCGGGCCTGCTTGAGAACCCAGAAGTGCTTAAGACACATCAGGATTAGAGGACAAACACTGGAGAAGAAAGCTTGACTTCTTGTGAGGCACAAGTACCCCGTCCAATGCTCACACACAGTGGGCACTAATTTACAAAATACTGCAAAAAAAACCTGTCCCTTGTCTTTGCTGCCCAGCATAGTTGTTCTAAGTTGTTTTCCAATCAGGTCAAAGTCTTTGGGACCAGAGTCTGTCTTGTGTCTCTTAGCCATCCCAGCCCCAAGGCTCCTCCCTGGGTCTACATTGCAAAAGTGCTTGATGATGGTGCTGATTGGTACCTTAATATAGAAGTGCACAGGCCCGGGCCGGGTGGCTCAGTTGGTTGGAGCATCGTCTTCTTTACCAAACCAGTTGTGGGTTCAATTCCTGGTCAGGGCACATACATAGGTTCCCCAGTCGAGGCGCATATAAGAGCCAACTGATCAGTGTCTCTTTCTCACACCGATGTCTCTCCCTCTGTCTCTCTCCACCCCCGTCTCATTCTCACTCTAACATAGATAAACATAACCTTGGGTGAGGATTTTTTTAAAAAGACGCACAGGATCTCCACCCCAGAAGCCCATGATCTCCCAAAAGGCAGACTCTTCCTGTCTCTGCCTCGACCCCTACATCTTCCTCCAAGTCCATCGTTTCTTCATCCCAGACGCTCTGTGTCTGGTTGCCCTGCTCTGTGCTGGATGCCACTGGCTGGACTCTGTCCCCCGCTGGAAGGCCTAACCACAGCCCCACTGTCATCCCGGTGCAGTCACCAAGCCTGAGACACACTGGGCCTATGAGTAGTTGTTAAAGTGTGGTTTCTGGATCCAGACCTCCTGGTTTCAAACTCCTGATTCTGCCACCTATAGCCCTCTGACCAAAGACTGCTTACGAAACACATATGTAAATGAGGATGGTGTAAAATGGATAATAGTAGGTGCCTTATTTGATTTGGTGAAAATCAGATAAGGAATGGGTGGCTTAAAGTCATGCCTGAACCATAGTGAGTGCCATGCAAATGTTTTTAAAATAAATAAGTAGTCCTCTTTATAAGAGAAACAAGCACCACATCCTCTGCAAAGGGGGTTCATTGACACCTGACCCACTCCAGGCTCACGCTCCTGTGTTTTCCTTCCAGAGCTGGGCCTCCAGAAGAGAGGATGCTGTCTGGTGCTGGGCTACATGGCCAAGGACAAGTTTCGGAGAATGAATGAAGGTCAGTGGGAACCCACCTACCCTCTCAGGGGTAATGTGGAGGGAGGAAGCTATGCCCTACAACTATAGCACCAAGAGGAAGAACCTGGGACACCTAGAAAGGACAGTGGGCAGACCAGGAGTAATTCCCATGAAGATATTCACATAGTAACATGGAGAGGAGTAGCTAATATCTGAAGTGTAATATGCTGATTCAGGAGCTTTTTTCCTTAACCTATCTTTCCTCCTCCCTCTGTGTGCCCTCTTTCTCTTCCCATTGCATCCCTACCTTTTGTTTCCCACCACCCAGCACAATTAAATCTTCTATTATCTTTTCTAATCCTGACCGCTTTACGGTTCTCCCAATCACTCACACTGCCTAAATGCCCATTGAATAAACAGCACCTTGCAGGGCACTTGAAATAATAATAAAAAAGAAGAAGGTAGACTTTTTATTCTCAGAGAACTTGCCCTTGGAAACCTGCCCTCTCTTCCAGCTCCATTCTTCCTACGACTCCCACTTACTCTTGGGCCACTCTGCTTTTCTCTTGCACTAAGTCTTTCCTCTGAGGCCCAGCTGGGGCACAGAAGCTTGGGAAAGGCATTGACATTGATGTGGAGGCCAGGATGTAGAGCGAGTGCTGTCGCTTATGGGCCTGCTGTAATGAAGAGCCAATCCCCTCATCCCCAGCCATCTGTCTCCGTGTAGCTAATAACCCTCTCCATCAGATGCCACAGACGGTTTGTCAGGATTCAAAAGTAGATAAACAATGGCTGGGGCTTCCATTTATTCATTAAAGTCACACAAATGAAGCCCTGGCTTGCCACCAGCTCAGCTTGCTATGAGCTGGACCCCTCACCTCCCAAGGTCCTGGGCTCCATTCCAGGCAGGGGGAAGGCAACTCACCTATATTATCTCTATTCCCAGAGTAAGACTCAGTGCAGTTCAAGTGCACTCTTCCATGCTCCTCAGCTGGCTCTCCAACCCACAGTCCATGACACCTACACCCCCTGAGGCTCCCCAAACCTCATGTCTTGCCAGCTATAGGTCTGCCACCAGCACCCATCATGGTGACAGGCTGACAAGGGGCAGGCCAGTACAATGAAGCACAAGGAGTATCACCTCCCCCGTGTTGAGGCCTGTCTGTGTAAGAAGGCAGCGGCACCCAGAAGCCACTTCCCACCTGTGGGAGCCCCAGGGCTGAGCACAGCCAGGGCTGGAGGCTGCATTTCCTGCCAGGCAGTCTCCCTTCCTGACTGTTCTCTTTCCCAGCCCACCCTCTCCACTCCCACCGCAGCCTTCACAAGGGCCTAGGCAGGAACTTGGAATTTGTGGGAACGAACGTGGTGCCTCTGTCCATGGTGCTGAACAGACGTTCTCTTGCTGTCCATGCACATTAGAGTAGCTGAGGCGAGGTTCACAGAGTTTGGGGAAGCCAAAAAGTCGGGAGCTAGGCTGGATTTGAGTGTCTGATGTGGAGAGAGCAACTGACTCTAGGTCCTGGGGCCTACAAAGAACCACATCATGAGACTCATGAACACGAGTTCACTTCCCCCACCTTTCACAAGTGGCTAATGGCCAGGGAGTCCTATCAGTCAGCTTGGGCTGCAATAACAAAACACCATAGACTGGGTAGTTTAAGCAGCAGAAAATTATTTTCTCATAATTGTGGAGAAAGAAAGTCCAGGATCAAGGTACCAGCATGGTCAGATACTTGTGAGACCTCTTTTCCTGGTCTGCAGGTGGCCCCCTTTTTACTGTGTTCCCATGGCAGAGAGAGATCTTGCAAGCCTTCTGATGGCTCTTCTATGGAGATAATATTCCATTTGGATCAAGGCCCCACCCACATGACCTCATTTAACCTTGAGTACTTCTGCAAAGGCCCGTCTCCAAATGCAGTCACATTGGGGGTTGGGACTTCAACACATAAATTGAGAGAAAGGAGGCAACAATGCAATCCATGGAAAGGGGTCTGAATGCATTTGCCACAGCAGAAGGTACAGTGGTAATGCTCTGAACCAGGAGTTTGGAAAATGGTAAGAAAAAGAAATTCAGCATTAGGTAAAGACGCACTTCTTAGATATTGCTTAAGTAAAGAAGGAAGGGAGGCAGGGAGGACCAGACCAGGACTGCAGAATAAGACCAAGACATGATTACCTCTGAGGAAAGTAAGTCTTACCTTGTACAACAGCTAAGCTAAAACAGCATTTTAAAAGTTTTTTTCTCTTTAAAATAGAAAGATGCCAAAACAGCATCTGTTCTCTCTAAGCCCCCTCTCAAAACACATACAGTCCACACAAATGTGTTATTACTTTCAGCTGTATGGCTGAGTTGGTTAAGAATGGTAGATCCCAAATGCCTTACCCCAACCTGTGCCCTCCCCCTGGTGAAGACTAATTGAGAATCAAGCTAGGTATTCAGACAGAGGGGGCAGCGGAGGCATCACCAATAGCCCAGGGCCCCTAACTCCTCACCCCTGCCTCCCTCTCTGGATGTGGTTCTCACCCCTCCCAAATGTCCCAGCACACACATTCATGCACACACTCATTCACAACCACACACACAGTAGCTGATGCTGTCTCGGGGTGAAGAAGACATGGGGGTGTTTTGTGAGTGGCTACAAACTCAACTAATGAGGAGACAGAATAGGAGGGAGTGAGGCAGTGGGGCAGATGAAGAGATGCATGAGGTGGGCTGCCTTGGGCTCTGGATGGACGGAGAAGAGGAAAGGACCTGGAGGGGTGGGCAAGTCTCCCTGCCCCCACCCTGGACGGTCTTGCCACCCCAACTGCCACATTATGCACTTTTTTTTTCTCTTTCTAAAACTCGCATGCCCAAACTCCAAAATGTCTCAGATAAGGCATCAGCAAGCATGGGGAGCTGTTTTATGGTGTATAATTATCTTGTACCAACATTCAAAATAATTATAACTTCCACACGTGAGTGATGGAACTGGAATAGTGGCCATGACATAGCTCAAGAAAGAGAAATCTCTGTCTAAGCTGCACCATACACTTTGGTACAAATGGAACAATTGATAACATCGTAAAAAATAATTATTCTCCCAGATGCTAAAATTAGTGAGATATTAGAACAATTAGCTGCTTTTTCTATTAAAGATAAGGTAGTTATCATTATATTTCTAAGTTAGAATAAATATAAAAGACATGTACTATATTAAAAGTTCATTTGTTGTGTTTAACAATATTTAGTAGGGTGTCCATCACCTGGGAGAAGTGGTCCCCTATTTCATGTCTCCTTGTTAATCTGGCATCTTTGTGTTTTCTTCTCCTTCCACTCGCCCCTCCTCACTACATTCCCCAACAATAATTGACTGAGAAAGAGCAAGTGGAAAATAGTGAATGAACAGGAGCTTTATAGGTTTGGGATTTATCACAAGCTAGAGTGATCGCAATTGGTACGATTAAACTACACAAAGCAATAAAGAGAAAACACTGTTCAAAGATCATTTAAGGAAGCAAGTGACAGTGCATGAGAGCTGCTCTCTTTGGGAGTGCGCAGTAGCTTCTCGGGTAGAATCTGCAACATCTGCAGGAACGGAGGTAGTGAGTAATCTGTGGTGTGAGTGTGTGTGCGTTCTTTCCTGTCAGGACTCAACATGTCTGTGGCATTGAATGGACATATGAACAAAAATGAAGGAAGGGCAGACAAGAAAGGAGGAGATAAAGACAGACTAGGCCTAAGAATATCAAATTTGTTTGACATAAGTGTTCCTGTGAATAAGTACATGGTGCTTTAAATGGGCACTACTGGAAGGAGATCATTTATTTATTCATCAAACGGTCATTGAATACCTGCCAGAAAAATTGTACCAAAGTCCATAACAAGTTCCAGCCATTGTTCTAAGCACTGGAGCTTCTGGAGGTAAAGTAGGGCATGGCTCCTGCCCTCCATAAGCTCAGGGCAGAAACACACACCTCAGTGTGACTGTCCCTTCTGCAAAGAGGCCCTAACCTGGATGCCCCACCATTGAGCTCCATGAAGGCAACCAGCCTATTAATGTTGTGGCATTTACCTAATTGGTGATTACTCATTACACTCTCTGCCCCACCTAAAGAGTTAGCCTCAGGTAAAGAAGGATCCCACTCCTTCCTTGCTTCCCCTGGTGCAGTGGGTCCCACTAGGAAGAAGTTGGTCAGGTTCAATTTAAGCAGCTAGTGCCATGATGGGCTAAGTCACCCAGAGGTGTAAAGGGGGTCTTGCGAAGGAGGTCCCCAGGCAGAGCAGACTGAGGTAGAGCGTTCCAGCAAATGAGTCTCCGCATCTCCGGTAATTCCGTAAGTCTTGCCTATCAGCCTCTCCCCAGACTATGGCACCTCCTGGGAGGCCAGGGCCCAGGCAGGTCAGCAGAGCTGGAGAGCTGGGAAAGGGGGCTCTCCTTCCTCACCCCAGTACTGCCAGACTGCCTTCTCAGGGCTTCTCTAATTGGTATGTCCCTCCAGCTCTGCAAGAGGGACTGTTCCCACTGTCCCTTCATCCCACACCCATTCACACACTCACCACCACCACCACTACCCTCTTCCTAGCTATTCCGATAATCCCTTCGTCCGGGAGATCCCAGAACCACTCACCTTCTCAATGCACAATGCTCACCCAGGGCTGCTCTTATTCACAGACAGACACAGCAGCTCTCACATTGTATCTGATGCAGGACGCTGCCTGCCCCTCAAATACCTCAGCATTCCTCTGTGTTAGAACCATGAGCAACCCCAGCAATTACAGTGCAACCCAGCAACTCAGGGAGGCCAGGGACGTGAGTGGCTCACCTGGGGCCAGAAGGAAGCTGCTGGAAGAGCCAGGACCACAACCCAGGTCTCCTGACATCCAGTCCAGTGCTCCTGAGATTCAGAAAGAGGAGGCTGACCCGTGAACACAGGGCAAGCCCCCCCACTCTTTAGATGGCTTGGTTTTTCGGGGCACTAAAAATACAGAGAAAGTGGGAGTGGTTGGAGGAAGAGGAGGCGGAACGCAGGAGAGTCGCCAGTTGATGTGGGAGAAAA